CCCTTGCTACAGAGGTTAAGGGGCGAGCTTGAAAACTGGATACCGTCTCTATCCATACACTTTAGAAACCAATAGGGATCTTATTGCATAGCCTCTCTTCAGCTTTTCTTCGAGGGCTTCAAGTCATGCAAGCCAACATCAGATGCCAGTCTTTTTTTTTTTTTAAGACTTTATTCGGAATAAATGTCAGCGCCGTTTTCTCCAGCAGCTAGGAATACCCTGGAATGGCTCAAGCTGCGACACACTGGGTGTGCACACATCCCCTGGGCAAAAACCTGGTGCAAATTTACTAGGTAAATGCTTTGTTTCGACTTGGTTAACACAGAAAGTGCTTCACAGAAGGCAAACCTGGTAAGTTCACAAGCAGTGTTTCTTAGTTGTAGCCTAGTTTTTTTTCTATTCACACCAAACCCCTAGGCCGTACAATTCCAGTTCAACTCTATAAAGTTATGCTGCATTACGTGGGGACCAAACATCAGTTATCTGTAGTTGTGAATGAATGCATACAACTGGGACCCACACCGTGCGAACAGCTTTGCAATGCTGTCTGGAGCCATTGTGACTGGCCCACACGCTTTAAGGTGGCAAGAAACAGGCAAAGACACTCCATCCCCTTTGCCTCCAGAAATGGACAAACTGCTCCCTTAATCCAAGATGGTGCGCTGACCGCTCTTTTAGAAAATCCCATCACAGGTCATCAGAGTTGCATCCAGGTTTAAAAAAAGAGCTGTGCATAACATGATAATGATAATAATCATTGCTTACACTTATATAGCGCTTTTCAGGACACTCCACTCAAAGCGCTTTACAGGTAACGGGGACTCCCCTCCACCACCACCAATGTGCAGCCCCCACCTGGATGATGCGACAGCAGCCATAGTGCGCCAGAACGCTCCCCACACATCAGCTCTCAGTGGGGAGGAGAGCAGAGTAATGAAGCCAATTCATAGATTCATAGATTGTGAAGAAAGCCTAGCAAGCTTACCTTCAACAACACAAAAGCTGCTGAGTTCTGGCCCTTGCGAGACTTTGGGGCACAAAACCTCATACATTCCAGGGCAAATTACTGATTTCTTGACTTAGCATTATCAAAACAGTCAAACATAAACCATGCCCAACATACGTTATAGATTGTGAAGAACAGCTAGTTATCCGTAAACAACGCTGTGGTGGCATTGCTAATGTTGAACTTGCCACCACAGAAAACCCTTCAACACCGCCTGTTAATTTCCCAAAAATGTACCATCACAGCTTTGGTCCCCAATGTGGGCCAATGACAAAAAACTTCACTTAAAAAGGGGGAAACCCCATCTTATGCGACACCTCAGCTCTTTAGGAAAAAAAAAACAACTCTAAAAGTATAATCACCAGTACTTACAACTGATAACACTGTCTTACTCTAAAAGCTATTTTTTCTAACAAAACAGATTGATCACACAAAAAAAAAGTTACAAGGGGTCGGAGACTATCTGGCCTATGTACTTGGCTTGGTTTAATAGATTAATTGATCCAGTGATCGGATCCAGACGTTTCTTGCAAAAAAACAAACTAGGATATCCGCTTCCACAACACGACTGTGTTAATTCCGGCTCCTGCCACTCTCTGTGTCGAGGCGCGCCTCTGATCCCCGAGTTATTAGCTCACTTGCTCGTAGATCTGACATGTAAAACTCCATTTAAACAAAAAGTTGGCTGAAACCGAAGTCAGCAACTCCTGTCGCCCTCAAACTCCACCGTTTGATTAGTAGTGTCCGCGCTGCAAAAACAGCGTTCAGAGTGGACAGGAAATGAAAGGAGTGCACCCCTCTGAAAAGTGGGAGCAGCCTCCGTGTTTTATTAAGACGGATGTCTTTTTGGATCAGGGCGCGGGTCCCGAGTTGAAACAGCACTTCAGCCCGGACCTCCCCATTCTGCATGACGAGATGTCGTAACACACAGAAGCAGCCGTAGCCCCCCCCCAACGGGGTACCCCCCGACCTCCGCACCCCCCAATTTCCCCTGCCTCTCGCCAAAACCACCAACGGGCTGGTCGGGTCTGCCCGTTTCCCCCCGGAGCTTACCTGCGGCCGGCGCTCTGCCGGCTCCGGGCCCCGCGGCTCTCGGGGTGGTGGTGATCGGGTTACCCCCTGGGGTACGGTGGTTCTCGGAGGGGCTGTGGGCTCCGAGCGCCACGCACCCGGAGTTGTGCTGCTGAAAGTGGTTGACTCCGCCGCCGCCGCCGCCGCTACCACTGCTACTGCTGCTGCTGCTGCTACTGTTATTAGCGTAACTGGCGTTGCTGCCACCTTGGTGATTGTTCATGCTGTACTGGTAGAGCCCGGACCGGGACCGCGATCGGGTCCTTGGGGGCTCCATGTGAGGGGGGTGGTGGTGGTGATAGGAGGGGGCGAAGGAGGAGGGAGTAGGAGGGGACTGAGAGGGAGAGGTGGGCCCGGCCGCTAGCAGCCTGCCGCCGCCGCCGCTGCCGCTGTGGCTCCCAGATCCCCTGCCCCCCTCCGCTCCCCCACTCCCCCCGAGCTGGGCCTGGTCCTGCGATCGCGCCCCCCTGTCCTCACAGACATGGCCCTGCTTGGGGACGGCGTCGGAAATCGGGTGCAAGCGGGAGTAGAGACAAGGTTCCTGTGCGGGCTGCGAGGCAGTGGCGATTGGCATTTCCTTTCGGGATTTTTCGTTGGGTTTTTTTTTTCCCCTTGTGTTTGTTGTTTTCTGAAACACTTCAAAGAGAGTTCGGAGCTAGTTGGGGAGGAGGAGGGGGGGGCCGGGAAGAAAACACAACCCCGGCGGCGCCTGGAAATTACTCCTCAATCGCGTGGGTCACCAAAACAGTAGAGGCTGTGAATTCTCCCCCAAGTGAGGAGGGGTGGGTTTTAAAAAAAAGGGGGTAAAATAATAAACCGCTCTTTTGCTTGTTCAGCTGTTTCCTTTTGTTACAACGTTTAAACCACCGATCGGCAGCCCAAGCCCAGCCGAGAGAGGCTGAAGCTACAACCGCAGTTTTAGCTGGAGAGAATCCCCCAGGCGCCTCGTCTTCCCAGTTCTGGATTATCCTTGTTGTTGTTGTTGGGTTTTTTTTTTAATACAGGCCAGGTCTCCCTTTTAAAAAAACTGTAGCTCCAAAGGCGAAAACCCCAAATCCTCCCTTCCAGGATAAACGAGATGTGTGTGTGTGTATATGTATACACACACACGCACACGGAGAGGGGTGAAAAGCAAGCTCGCGTCTACTTCACTTCCGCGAAAAACTCGTCCATTGCATCGGATTTCGAGAGCGCACAAGAGATCCGTCTGCAGTCACAAATCTTTCCCTTTTCTGGTGGTGGTAGAAGGAAAAAAAAACAGAATCGGCGTCCGAACTAAAACCAAAAAGTTTCTTAGTTTCCACTTTTCTTCGTCTTCAATCGAAAGACGCCGCCAGTCGATGTTTTTTTTTTTTAAAACTCTCGCTCTCTCTCCCCTCTTTATTTATCGGGTGACGGACTTTTTGTTTTCTTTCTTTCTTTTGACCGATCTCACGTCCTGAATGTGATTCATCTGCGCGTCGCGTTCTTTCTAGGAGCCCTCTGCCAAAAACATAAGGAGGTGGTGGTGGTGGTGGTAGTGGGGGGTGGGAGAGGAAAAAAAGAAAAGGAAAAAAAAACGCTTGGGAGGTCTTTCAAAAAAAAAAGTAGCCTATCGCGCACACAGGCAGATGAACGGATCTGAAGGAGTTCGGGACCGGCAGCGCCGTCTTTCCAGGGTCCTCGGGTAGCAATGTGCGTCTTGCCCTTTTTTTCCCCGTCCTCTCAGATTTAAAACCCTACCCCCAGCATGGGAACCCCGATCCGACTCGCTACGCCGAGCGTATCTGCCTCTGGTCGGTCGGTGTCAGTGTGAAATGTGACTACAGATCAATGGGATTTCAGATCTCTCCCCCCTCTCTCTCTTCGCGCACACACACACACATACATACAAGGCGCAACACATCAAGCCTGGAAAGTCAGGATCGCGAAATACCACTCGTACGAAAACCGAGAGAAGGCGACCGGGTCGTGGTTAAATCTCCCACGACGTTATGGCGAAGAGTTGTTTTTTTTTTTTTCCTTGAGAGAGAGCCGAAAGGGGGACAAGGCCACTCTACTTGCAGGTCCTCCTCTCCCCTCCTGCTTCACTCGATTGCTTGCGCCTGCCCGGGATCCCTACATGCGCACAGCCCCGCCAGGCTGCTCAGCCAAAGGAAAGGGAGTTGTAAATAATTTACGAAAACTGTATAGTCTACAACCGGCGAAATTGATTGGACATGCCTGGTCATATTTATTGAGGATATCGCCCCTTAATCATATTTCACAGATTACATTTCATTATTATTGTCCTCCACCCCTCCAGCCCCCCACCCAATGGACGTATAACAGGCGCTATATAAATCTATTAACGTGCTAATTAAAAAAAATATGAATCTATTACGGCTATAGAGAGACAGAGGCATTCAAATTATTGTAATAGCCGGAAATCAAACTAATGAAGATGGTAACGTCATTAACTGATTTCTATGGTATTTTATTTACCTCACCTCAATGAATATTAATTGGGCATGTGTTCCCCAGTGCTGGCTAGATTGATCATAGCACTTTATTTCTTTTGTAGTTTTGATTTGTTGTGCACTTTGGATCAAAGCACAAAAGACTGATTTGACCGATGAGGTTTCTGTGCTACAGATGCAAATAAGTTTGAACTGCAGGAGAAATGAACACCTTGCGTACATGGTATGATGCACTGTACATTTTAAGATATACCAAAGTGTAAATATATAGCATTGTCATGCTAGAGTACTTACCATTTCATTATTGCTAGTGATTTGAATTCTCACACGCTGAGCTTTTCATGAAGGTAGACAAATAGGGTGATCTCATTGCTGCTCGATTCAGATATATCTAACAGGATTTGTTAATATCCATTTTCAGGCATCAGTAACATCATTCAACGGGACTGACTTTTCACTTGATGCTCGGTGGAGTTTGAGAAAAATTGTTAAAAGACCTCAACAGTACCAAGTACCGTGGAATGCACTCCACACACTGATAACAGGAAAACCAAGCGGATGACATACAGATGCAGAGGAACCTTACTGACAGAGATATTGCTGCCAGACATCTACAAAACAGTTCCTTGTAAAACCACATGAAAGCTGCAGAGAACCTGGTGACGTAATTCAGTCAAGCACAAATCAAGTTTCAGGGAGCACAATCATTAAAGTGCTCTACAGATGTAGTCTTTGGGAAGAGAAAGAAAAGAAAACAGTGTCGTGGAAAAAAGGAATTCAGCTAACAAAGTCCTTTAAAAAAATCATGTCCTAGTTTTTGACACAAGATGTTGTGAAGTGAAGAGAGTAATTTTGCATTTCTTGGTTGCAGTCCAGCTCCATTATAGCCAGCAGCCATATCATGAAGGTAGCCATATCAAGAAGGGACATTGTAGTGGCACTGTGGCTAAGGATCTGTGCTTGTAGCTGGAAGGTTGCCAGTTCAAATCCTGCCGGCAGAGGAATCCTACTCCGTTGGGCCCCTGAGCAAGGCCCTTAACCCCAGCTGCTCCAGAGGTGCTGTATAAATGGCTGATCCTGCACTCTGACCCCAAGCTTCTCTCTCCCTGTTTGTGTGCCTGAGTGTCTCATGGAGAGCAAGCTGGAAAATGCGAAAAGACAAATTCCTCATGCAAGAAATTGTATAAGGCTAATAAAGTGATCGTATATCACCCTGTAACTCACAATTAGCAGCCCACTGAAGCTAAGCAGGTGTGAGCCTGGTCAATACCTGGATGGGAGAAAAATAAGGTTGCTTAGTTGCCGCTGGAAGAGGTGTTAGTGGGGCTCACCCTGCAGTCTATGTGACGGGGACACTATACTGTAAAAAGGCGCCGTCATTCGGATGAGACATAAAACCAAGGTCCTGACTCTCTGTGGTCATTAAAAACTCCGTCATTAAAAATCCCAGGATGTTTCTTGAAAAGAGTAGGGGTGTAACCCTGGCCAAATTTCCCATTGGTCCTTAACAATCATGGCCTCCTAATAATCCCCATCTATGAATTGGCTTCATCTCTCTGTTCTCCTCCCCACTGTTAGCTGATGTGTGGTGAGCGTACTGGAGCACTATGGCTGCCATCGCATCATCCAGGTGGGGCTGCACATTGGTGGTGGTGGAGGGGAGTCCCCATTACCTGTAAAGCGCTTTGAGTGGAGTGTCCAGAAAAGCGCTATATAAGTGGTAAGCAATAAATAATTATAAAGTGCCACAGACAGATACATGTATAAGGAAACAAAATCCCCACTTGCTATCTTATGTGATAGTTCATGACAGCTGTGTTTGTGATGTGTCAAAAGTATTGGAGAATGTTCCAGGGATAACTCAGCTTGGTTTTGCACTTATTGTGCTCCAGTTCAGTTGATCAATTCTGAGTGATCTGTCCAGAAAAAAACTGCAAAAGCTACACAGCTCATTCTATATCATGAGAGTTAGACACACTTCAAAAGGAAATTCGGAAAGCCAGCAAATGAGCTGAATCGAGGAGGGCTCGATCCAGGAGCCAGGATGTTAAAAAAGTGATACGTGTCTGAAAAACAAGAATTGGAAAAAAAACTATATTGATTGGAGTTTGGGTTTTGATGGAGATCACTTCAAATTCACATATATCACAAGAATATGTGGCACAGACAGCTTGAGTTTGCATTGCGAACAGGTTCCTTTTCATGCATTTGACTTGTTTTAAAATTCTATATGAGGCGGCTCGCGTCTGTTATTATGTGAGTTATTTAACGGCTTTTGCACATGGTTAGCAGTTAGAATCTTTGCTTCCTCACCTTTAAGGCTCTGCATGGCTTGGCACCTCAGTACCTGTCTGAGCTATTATCGTCCTACTCCCCACCTCACAACCTACGCTCTTCTAATTCTGGTCTGCTATCTGTCCCCCAAGCCCGTCTACACTTTATGGGTGACAGAGCCTTCTCGTGTTATGCCCCAAAGCTCTGGAATTCTATCCCCAAGGAAATCAGAGAGTCATCTTCTCTAATATCCAGACATAAAACCTTCTTTAGAAGAGCCTTTACTTAACTGGTTCTGCTCTTTACCCCTCTGCTGCTACTGTATTCAGTAACCCCATCTACTGTCTCCTCTCATTGTGTATTCATATTGTGCGTCTTGTGTATCTTTTTTATTGTTGTTGTCGTTCTGTGAGGCACTTTGAGAAGCCACCTTTAAAGCCACCTTATTACTGTGAACAAATAATTCTGTTTTTTAACATTCATTCATCCATTCATTATCAGAATGCTTCTTGTGGTGGTCAGAGCCTTGACAAGCCACGTATAACCACCAGACAGAATTGTTGTTCCATTTCATGTCCCTATACCCCCTCTTATTAATGTCCAAAATCCATCTGCTCGTATAGCTTTATGTCAGATACTCTTGTGACAATCTTCTATTTGGTTTTCACAAATTACTTTCAGAAATGATTTGCACTTTTTAACTTAAATCACAAAATAGACAGCAATGCCAAATCCGTGTTCTAGATTAAGCTTTTGCTCCATTTTTATATTATCTGTCATATTCTCAACAAGAAGAGTGTACCACAGTCATGCACTTTATTTCAGGCACATAAGCAGAGGGGGGTCACCCTAATTCCAATGTGTGCTTTGTTCTGGTGCTCATTGTAAAATGTGAAAGTTTTAATTGTTAAGGTAGCATTTCCAGATTCATGAGTAAAGTGGACATGTGAGACTACAGGTTATGGATTTAGCTGTGAATGCCTCCAGAGGTCAGAGAGAGAAGTTTGTGAACTCTTTGCAACACAAAACATAATACTGACAAAATAGGTGATTAATAAAACAATGTGAAAAAAAAATAAAAAACAAGGCAGGAGCATATTTAACTATAGTTGCAAAGGATATAATTTAAAAAACTGTTGTCATTACTAAATGTGATGATCTGGTATAAAGATTTCAAAACCTGAAAAAATGGTCTGTTGACCAGTGATTTAGGACTTGTCTGTTAAATGCATGAGGTATTCATATTTCAAAACTGCATTATCATGCTGTACCATGATTATTGTTTACAGTTGTTCTTTATTGTACTGTATGTGGTACCATGTCATTTTCTTCCATCTTGTCTGAAAATCCAATACACAAATTGTACATAAAACTGCATCATCAATTGTTTTAAAACAGTTGCAAATCAATTCCTTTAAATCTTCAAAAGCAGTCGTGAAACTAAAAGACATTCATTCTAAATATGACAAATGAAAACTTAATCTTCAAGCTCAAGCAATGCATTTCTAAATTGAATATGGGAGATTCTAAATGTAGTTTAAAAGGATAATTCTTTTTTTTCAGTGTGGAATAGTGTTTACAGGTGGACTCTAGATCAGGACACTGTGGGTGTTGTACCCTTGAGTTGATTGTGTTTTTTCCAGTAAATGGTCTGTCTTATAAATCATTAGAACCCATTTTTGAAACGTTCGCTTATTGATAACAATAGGAGACCCCTACAGAGAAAAAGAGACTTTGTATGTGTGCAGTTCTTCATTTGGTTAAATCAAGTTAATTCTAGCAAAGTAAAGCATTATTTTTGGTTGCTTGGATCTCTTTTCATATTTTATTAAATTGTAGGTACAAGTGACATAAAAAAATAAAAACCCAGTACTGAAAAAAAAAATTAAATGTTACTTATTGTGTGTAATGACTGTAGGCCCCGTAGAAGTATCGCGTTTATTCACCCTATTTGAATATAACGCTGCTCTGCCATTTTCTGTCGAAATTCTGGCATGCAAATGACACAGTTAATTTTGCGAGCCTTCACACGAAAACGAATTAACAAGACCAAGCGAGGAAGATCAATTTTTCACCCACTGTGCCGCTGTTATTCATGAGATAATGCGATAGAAGGAGGAGGGAGGGGAGGGGGCAGAGGAGGAGACGAGGGGGGTCTCCCGGGCTTCCCCATTGGCTGATTCAAACGCGGGGGGAGGGGCATCTGGCGAACACCCCAGCGGCACAGTATGTTATCACGAGCCCCCTCGAACCCAACATTGCTGAGAAGGATTGAATCACCACCACCAATGCAGGCCAAACAGCATGGAGCCTCTGCCTTCCCAGCACATGGGGGGTGGGGTGT